TAAATATGAAGTTAAATAAAAATATCCTTGTTACCATTTTTATAAATGTCCTTTCATGAAAAGGCAAATAACTAGGTGAAAATCTACTTGAAGATGTTGTAATGTATGTGTTACATGTTAATATACAATGTGTGCATATTGTAAATGGTTGATATCCAAGTGAGTGCCACTGACTGACAAAAAGGCTAGCTCTCTGGAAATTGGGAGATTAGTTGTGGGATGCAGACAGCTGCTGTAGGATGCTTGGCACCGTGTTTGGTACACAGTCGTCCCCGTTATGCACGTGTGTGTGGTCATCCCACCACCTCCACAGGAAGTCACTGGAAAAAGACAACTTGGTTAAGAAGACTGGGGGAGAAGGAAAGCATAATTTAAGTAATACTTATTGCATCTGTTTCATTTCACACTTCTTTTGCCTAAGACTTAAATTGCTAGTAGCAAACACTTTGGAAGGTGTTACAGAATATAAATATGCATTGGACATTAGATCAAGGGCAAACACAACAAGGGGATTGGACTATGATCACATGATAAAGCGAGAGCACACAAGGGAGGGGTGAGGATAGGTAAGACACCCAAAAAACTAGATAGCATTTGTTGCCCTCAACGCAGAGAAACTAATGTAGATATTTTAAAGCGACAGACACCAATAGGAGAAGGGGACCAGGAACCAGAGAAAAGGTTAGTTCGAGAAGAATTAATTTAGAAGGTAACACACATGCACAGGAAAGCAATGCAAGTCAACGCCCAGTACAGCTATCCTTATCTCAACTAGCAGAAACCCTTGGTCCTTCCTATTATTGCTTATACTCTCTCTTCAACAAAATTAGATAAAGGGGCAAAATAGTTTTTGCCTGGTAGCAAGGGGGTGAGGGGGAGAGGGAGAGGGCAGGGGTGAGGTAAAGGAGGGGATGGGGGTGGGGGGGGAGAGGGAAATGACCCAAACATTGTATGCACATATGAATAAAAGAAAAAAAAAGAATATAAATATGCATTAATAATGTAGTCTCTCTTGTTTTAGGAACTTTATATTGCTATTGGAATATCTGGAGCCATCCAACATTTAGCTGGGATGAAAGACAGCAAGGTAATTGTACGCAGTGATCGTGGCGATAAGAGAAAGTTTTCACCTTTTACGTTGGGTCTCACTGAATGTTTCCATGTAGTTAGGGTGGACAGTCAAATCTTTCACATTAGCACAGACGTGGGACTGAACAAATGGAAGCTGCTGTGTCCTGCCTAAAGACGTTCTGTTGGTAGCAGGGGCATTGTGGGTCAGGGTGCCTGGACCTAAGCTGCAGCTCTACCACTCACTTACTGCAGGGTGGGCCCTGTCTGTAACTCAGGGTTTTTTGTCTGCCAAGCGCTCTTGCTCTGACAATCTATGGGTAGAAAATGTGAGGCTTAAGTGACTCGGTGAGGTTCTGGTCATCTAACTGGTTTCTGAGGTGTCAAATTCTCTGTTCACTCTGATTCCCTAAAGCCCCACCTTCATGTATCAGCAGGACCCCTGTCTGCATCGTTACCAAGGTGTGGCTGACGTATCAGGCCATCTTAATACCTTGGTAATGAAAAGCAATGGATAGACAAAGCGCTTGGTTTTAACTCACTACTTGGACCACATCTGGAAGCCCTGTGTAATGACTCCATGAACATATATTCAGGATATGACACATTAATTCATGCATAACAGGGTACAGTTCGAATTATGAACTTACCTTTCACGAAGTCAGAGATGCCTTTGACACGCCTGTGTTTATCCATTCAGATGGAAGCTTGATAAAAAAGATAATAAAACTTTTAACAGGCTTAACTTCTAACTTGAAGAAATGCATGCACTACTTCTTTGTAGCTTTGAAATGAATTGGTTCAAAACCAGTCAGATTTCACAGTTGGATGGCAGGTTTCTTTCCTGAGCTCTGAAAACAGCAGTGCCAATGGGGAAAATGTGATTTATGCATTAAGGGAAAAAAAACTCCAATACCATCAGCCTTAAAATATGTTTTCAGCTAGACCAGTTCAGACATATCTAGAATTCTGCTTCTCTAAAATAAAAGATTTTGCATGCCAAAGAAGATCCTGGTGAAAATTCTCCTCCCTTGACAACAGGACTTAGATGGGTTGTGAAGGAGATGAAACCAACTTGGTAATGAATGTCAAAGCAAGACCAGTGTTGGGAGACAGTCCATGAGAATAAACTTCAAGCCAAGACTGTCTCTCTATCCAGTTGATAAGTATTTATTAAGTATACTTCTTACACTAGATGCTGGGATGCTTAAGTAAAAACAACATAGCCTTTGTCATCACTGTCTTGTGTGGCAGAGAGGCAATTTCTAGTTGTAATTTCAGTTGAATTCTAAAATGGATAGTAGAATGGCTTAAGTCTGACAGGTGCATTGCCTACAAGCTGCAGTTTTAACTAGCATCATAGTATAGTTGAAAGAATGCAAGATTTGATTGTTTATATCAAATGAGTCAATAGAATGAAAGCACTTTTTGAACTACATACATAATAATATGGTTGGATACAATTTGCTCATTTAAAAAACTCTGTTAAGGAGGAAGAGCTTGAATTTATAAGGAGTTGTTGAGAGCCCTGAGTGCAAACAAGACTTTACCACAGTTTCTTATAGTGGATAATTCAGGAATGTTATTTTAGTAATACAAAAAACTATAACTAGCTCACATCTTTTTTCTTAAGTACCATAGTTGTCCTTACCCAGAGTTATGCGCACTTTCTTTTTAAATAACTTTTATGGAGTGGGATGCAAAAGCTTTCAGATGATTAAACTGTCAAATGTTTGACTAGGTGGCCTCCAGGAGAATCGCTAACTATCATTAATTAAATAAATCTTTTGTTATAGCTGTAAAGCAGCCTACACATTCCCAGAAGAGAAACACCTCAACGCCTAGGATTTAGTGTTTGTCTTTGTGATTTTGGACTTGAGGCTCATATTTGAAACTCATTTGATTGTCTCTGGACTGGGCATTGCCTGGACGATACCAAGCTGCAGTCTCAGACTTTCTGGCATATTCTGCCCAGATATATAGAGGACTTTTGAGAAGTCCTCTAAGGGGATCGCACATGTGCCTTGTAGCCTGTATTTTAGGTTAAACTACATCAAAATGCTTAATATATTAACATCAGTGGTCTTCTCAAGATATAGGGAGAGGCAGATAGAAACTGAACTTACTTCTCAAGATTTGAATTGTTATATAATCTATTCATTCCAATTACGCCACATCTGAGTCATAACTCTAGGTTTACTTTAATTGCAGTGGTGGTACAAGGTTCTTTGGGGAATACCAAATCATTCTGTTAACAATCTATCATAACCTTGCATAGTTAAGAACATTTTTAAAGGAGGTAAGAGAAATGTTTGCTAGTTTTTATAAGAGATACCGAACTAGCTGCATTCAAAGGAGTTCAAATTGGTTTAAGCTTCCTTTTAATAACAGGCTGATGAGATAGCATTTATTTCATATTCTCAGAAGAAACCCAGGACAGCAATTTAAAAGTCATAAATGTAATGGAGGATACCATGGACAAAATCATTTGAGCTACAAAGGCTGTAAATTTGGGTAGAGATTTGTTCCTTTTTTTAATCTAAAATCAAACATTTTTTCATAAGTTAAGAAAGAACTTTGAAAATATGATTTTTAAATCTTGGTTTTGTTTTTTTTTCCCCAGTACTGGGGATTGAAATCAGGGCTTTTCAACCCAGAAATGTCCAACAAGTTTATAATATTCGTATAGATGCAGTAGATTAATCTTACTTGTTAGACATCTGAAGAATATTAATATGTTCTGAGAGAGTTAAAATAGAACCATCTGTCTATATGGTGTATTTTCTAGATAAAAGCCAAGCTTTTTATTTCACAGACAATTGTGGCTATTAACAAAGACCCAGAAGCTCCAATTTTCCAAGTGGCAGATTATGGAATAGTTGCAGATTTATTTAAGGTAAGTAGGCCTGGAGAGGGATTGCTGTTATCTCAGACTATCATTTAAGAACCTCTTCAAGTGAGTCAGGGATGAGATATTAAACAAAAACATGTGTTTGTGTGTCTCTGTGCATACTGTTAACATACAAGGCAGTTTTGTCTTAAGTTGCTCCAACTTAACTTGTGTGTTTACTATTGAGCAGAATCACTTTCCTCTTGAGAATGAATCCCGACTGTCTCTGAGATGCCCACATGCATCAGATATAAGAAGTTGGTTCACACAAAGTAATCTAAGTAACTGTAGCCCACAATCATATTTGGCAGTTACCCCAAAGAAATGAACTCAGGCCCCTTGCTCAGGGTTGCTGAGGATGCTAGAGCTCCCAGGGGAAAAGCTTATTTGTCTCTGCCTGCTGTATTTGAAGGGTGAAGGCCTTCCCCACATGGCGGTGTTAAGGAGAGCGCTGACCCACTCCTTACACGCTTCACTTTTGAGTATTCTTACCCTGCCAACACCACCACATCTGCCCTCCCCACAAGAAAAGTTTCTTCAGTCATATTGGTTAATTTAGTGAATTATAGGTGACGAGCACTGATACTCACTTGGCCACATTTAAAGGTTCTAACTCATGGCCTTCTCTTGTCACCCTAGCCTGCTTCTAGGACACATTGTACAGAAATCACTCATGCAGGAATTGACTCTGAATGTAGTGTAGCAGCCATCACTAGGAGAGTGGTTTTGCTGCAGTTAAGAGCCCCTCTCACAGAACCACTTCAAGGGACTATGAGCCTTTATGTCCCCCCAACAAGAGGGTCAGCCAGTGCCTTGAAGGACAAAGGAGAGCCTTTGGCTGCTCAGTAATGGCCAGGTTACATGCAGAAACCCAGATGCAACTTACTGTCCTACTCAGGTGGCCCCAGTGAGCCTGGATCTTGTCTTAGGAAGAACACTCCCCTCCAGTGACCCTGAACGTTTGGGATCCAGGTAGGTCAGCGGCTCCCGTTGCCTGACCCAGTTGTAACAGTAATGGCAGTTTTGTGGCCACTGAAATGCCCCAATGGGAGAGACTGCTTGGCAGTCTACCACTGGGCTATATCTCTATACAAGTTCACCCTCAACAGTCATGAATTAGGGTGAGTTTTTTCCCCTCATATAACAGAAACAATATGGTAGGATTAAAATCTGTATTAACCACATACTAATTAAATTACCTTGACCAAAGCAGTTAATCTCTCTGATTGTCAGATTCAGAGAGAACCTTGAAGAGTATAAAGAGGTTAAGTGAGATTGTACTGCACCTGGTACAGTCTGATAAATATCAGCCTATCTCTTTGCATTTTCTTTTCTTTCTTTTTTTTCCCTACTCTGTGTCCTCTGAGTCACAATACAGACCAGGCACAGGGCCTGTGCTGAGGTGTATATGGGCTAGGTTTACTCTTCCTCCTCTTTCTATACAGTCAGTGTAAGAACATAGCCTGTGGTAAGCACCAGGAGGCCTTGTATTTTCTTCCATTCAAATACATAGCAGGTATTCAAAATAAATGGTAAATATTATAAAAGGAGTTAGAGGAGCAAGGCAAGGGTATCACCTGACTTTTTTGTTTTTAAATTATAACAGTTTACTAAGATATAATTCACGTACCACAAAATTCACCCTTTTAACATGTACAACTCATTGGTTTTTGGTATATTCCTAATTATACAACCATTATTTTCATAAATCTCATCCTTGTCTAAACCCTTCCTAGCTCTACTTTCTGTTTACAGATTTGCCAGTCCTAGACATTTCACATGAATGGAATCATAGAATATGTAGTCTTTTATGGCTGACTTTCACTTAGCTTAAGGTTTTCAAAATTCATCCCTGTTGTAGCATGTGTCAGTACTTTGTTTCTCTGTCTTACCAAATAATACCCATCTTGTGGATTGCTGCATTCTGTGCATTCATCATTTGATGGGCATCTCAGTTGTCTCCACTTTTTGGCTACTATGAATAGTGCTGCTATGAAGATTCATTTGTAAGATTTTGTGTTGGGTGTATATCTAGGAATGGAATTGCTGGATTCTGTGGTTGCTGTGTGTGTAGAGCTCTGTGGTACACATTTTGAAGAACTGTTGGACTGTTTTCAGAGAGGCTGTACCATTTCAGAGTCCTACCAACTTCTCCATAGATTTGCTAGCGTGTGTTACCGTCGGTCCTTTTTTATTCTAGCCATCCTTATGGGTGTGAAGCATGCCTCATGTCTTCTATTTGCATTTTCCTGGTGGCTAATTATGAGCATCTTTTCATGAGCTTATTGAGCATTGTGTATTTTCTTTGTAGAAATGTGTATTCAGATTCCTTTTTCTTTTTTGCTTTCATTCTTTTTTTGGCAGTACAGGGAGTTTCAGCCCGGGGCCTGGCACTTGCTAGGCAGATGCTCTGCCAGTTGAGCCTTTGTCCCCATTCCTTTTTGCGTTAGTCACTTTTGAGATAGGAACTTGTTTTTATGTCCAGGTCAGCCTGGACCGAGATCTTCCTGTCTGCTTCTACATGTAGCTAGAGATGACAGGAGTGCCCCACCATGCCCAGCCAGTGGTTGAGATGGACTGTCGCAAACTTTTTGTCTGGACTGGCCTTGAACTGCTATACTTGCAAACTCCACCTCCCAAGAGGCTAGGATTACAGGTGTGAGCCACCATGCCCAGCCATTTTGTATTCAGATTCTTTGCCCATTTTTGAATTGCATTGTCTTTTTGTTCTTGGGTTATTAGAATTCTTTATATATGCTGGAAAGAAGTTTCTTATCTGATATATGACTTCCAAATATTTTCTCCCCTTATGTCTTTTCATTTCTTTATAGGACAAGTATTTTAATTTTGGTGAAGTCTGACTTATCTGTGTTTTTCTTTTGTTGCCTACACATCGGGCGATATATCTAGAAGCCTTTGCCTAATTCATTATAGTGAACATGGCCTTCAAGACATTCCTTTCAGTTTCTTTGGGTGTATAACTAGGGGCAGAACTCCTGGGTCAGGCCTTCTCGCTTGCTAAGCAGGTGCTCTACGACGTGAGCCCTTTTTCTCTGGTTATTTTGAGATAGGATCTCATTTATGCACAAGCTGTCTTGGACTGTGATTCTCCTATTTTGCACTTCCCACCATACTAGGATGGCAGGTGCATACCACTAAACCCAACTTTTTTTCATTGAGAGAGGGGTCTCGTGAACTTTTTTTTCCTGTGCCTGAGCTGGCCTGGAAACTTTGATCCTCCTGATCGCAGCCTCCCAAATAGCTAGGATTATAGGTGACATCTCCCTTGTGGTTTTGATTTACATTTCCCTAGTGACGAAGGATATTAGTCACTAGCACATGAGAAGGTGCTCAGTGGCAATTCGCATGCCTTCTTTGGAGAAATGTCTGTTCACGTCCTGTGCCTTATTACTGTTTTTTCCAGTGATGGAGATTAAGCCCAAGGCCTTGTCCATGCTAGGCAATCGCTCTGCCACTTGAGTTACATCCCCAGTTCTTCGCCCACTTTTTAGTTCATTTTTTTGGTTGAACTGTAGGCAATTCTTGTCAATACATGACTTCCAAGTATTTCCTCCCGTTCACTGGGTTTCTTTTTTTACTTTTTGATAATGTCATTTGATATATAAATATTTTAATTTTGATGAAGTCCAGTTTATTTTTTATCTTTTCTCATTTGTGCTTTGGGTGTTATATCTAAGAATCCATTGCCAAATCGATGGTCGTAAAGATTCACCCTGTGTTTTCTCATAAGAGTTTTATGGTTTTTGCCATATATTTAGGTTGCGATCTCTTTTGAGTTAGTTGTTGTGTATGGTGTGATGTGTGCTCCACTTTGTTCTTTTGCGTATGGATATCCATTTTTCTCAGCATCAGCTATTCTGCCCTGAGGTGATGTGTCCTACTACCTGTCTTTCTAAACCTTCTTTTTCTCTTCTACCAGCACACCTAGTCATTGAAGTCATTACAGTCTCAGAACCTGCAGTGTTTACCTTCATCACTTCCTCACTCTTTTGCCTAATATCATTTTCTCTAGGTTGATGCTTTGGATTTTCCCGATCCATACTGATCTTTTCTTCCTGAGTCTGGAGCATTTAATGCTGTCTTTATCCTCCCATGTTCTAGTAGAGATGAGTACATGTTTGGTCCAGTGGTTTGTAGGCTCTGACTATTCTCCCTGACTAGAGGTGGGCAGCTCTGAGAGTGACAGAGGTCACCTCTGTCCCCCTTAGCATTACCCGAGGAAGTGCTAAGTAATCAAGTGGAGCATGTTCATACCGCGCTTTACATCAGGGCTGCCTTCTCTTTAACTGAAGCCTCCTCCTGTTTGCTTTTACTGCGTATGCAGCTGCTTGTGCACTATCTAAAAGACATAGAAGCACAAAGACACATGTCAGGGTGCCCAGGCCATCAGACACGCAGGAGACCTCACTTAGCATTTTTCTTTTCCCAAGATAAGGCCTGTATGGTATCCTTGGAAAGTCTGAGACTGGTCTAATAAAAATGGTATATGATGGAGAGAAAGTTCTCTCAACCCTTTTTGGGGGCCATTCTGTATGGAGGTTTTTACATATATATATTTTGTATTCTAAACCAAGTTAATGTTGCACCTCCTGGAAAAGAAACTAGGCTATCGTCTATTTTTCACGAAGAACACAGGTCCCACGTGAGGTTCAGTTAGCACGTCATCCATGTGACTAGCACGAGCTCGTGGTCCCTCCACTGAGGAAAGCCAGAGGTGGCGCCAGCACTTAATGCCGCCCCTGAGCAAATGCCTGCCGGCTCCATGGTAAACACGGGCCTTTTAATAGGCTACAGACAAAGTGACATTCAGAAGAAACAACATGTCGACAATTTCCTTAATAAATTTTGTACGAACACATTATTTCCACCTAATGGAAATGTAGCTCTCTTAAATAATTGAGAGGCACACTCATCAGTGGTGAGTTCAGCTGGGCTCTGTGTGAGCTCAGCTGTCGGCACCCCCTTGCAAGACTGGGTAATTGATATTTCACACAAGTGACTGGACTAGTGCTCAGAGCACCTGTGTGGCATTCCCCTGCTATCCCCACATCCAGCTCTCCTCTGTTGTCCAAGCAGCCGCAGAGCTGCTCACACGGAGCTCCAGTTGCATCTATGGAACTGCCAAGACTAAGGGTTAGTAATTAATCCCTTTCAAGATGAGCGTCAGCCAGTCGTTTCCCTTCGTGTGGTTTCTTACTGCTGACCAGCACCGCGTGAGCACAAGGTCTGGATTCGAATAAAGTTGATGATCGGGAATGCCCAGCTCATGACAGTCACATGTGCTGAGAGCAGCCAACATGTGTGTGTAATGCGTGATGAGCAAATGAGCAAGCAGTGAGAAAACGTGCTGGAGGAGGCTGATGGGGGTCCTGACTGAGCTCCTGGTTTGCCATGCACTTTGAGGGAAGCGAGCAACGCAGCAAGGGTAGAGGAAGAACGAGAGGGGGAACATGAAGGTCAAGTACATGCTGCTCAGCCCAGCCAGAATCTGAGCTTTGTAGCTATTGTCAGTGGCGTTTCCTTACGTCTGTGGTTGTGTCCACAAGGTGCCTGAGTGGCCTTTGCACCCTGCCAGCCCTGACCCCTGGTGAGAGCTCTCCCCAGAGTGTGCTCTCCCTGTGGAGAGAGAATAGATGCAGGGGGCCTGGGGTGCCCACCGGGGCCTGCACTGTTCCTCCTGCCTTGGAGCTTGGCCCTATCACAGTGAAGGCTCAAGTTGCTTAATTACCATTTAATTTTTGCTGTTTTTGTTTTGCAGGTCGTTCCTGAAATGACTGAGCTACTGAAGAAAAAGTGAAAGAAAAAAATCAGTCGTGATCATGTCTTAAGAAGGAAAACTGTCAAAGTATTCAGGTGAAATCATAAAAATTCATAATTTGAGGAAAAAGTGCTAACAGCAGCCAGAATGCGCTCTATGAGACTATTATTATATTTCTTTTTTAATTATTTGTGGTTCCAAACAAGTTTTTTTTTAATTTTCTAATTCTGTAATAAAATCTGTAATAAAGCTTTGCCACAGTTTCAACACCACTGTCAGAAACATGCTTCACTCCTTCAAGAAAGAGAGCCAAGTGAAGAAAGGGAGAGGGAGTGACAGTTCACTTCAGATTTCTTCCTCACCTGTGTGCTCACAAGTGAGATTGTGAGCGTGAATGTCTCACCAGCCTCATGGAGCTACTGTAATTGTGGAAGGGCATTTAGAAGAAAGGAACTAGATGGGCAAATTCAGAGTTAACAAAGCCTGGCTACAAATCATGAATATTACCTTCAGTATACTCAGTCTTCACAAAACCATAGCTAATGTGACAAAAACAGATCTGACTTAAACCTGACCTTCCTGACTTAGTTGCTTAAGTTAAATTTAATTTTCCACTTCATTTTAAGGCTTTGTCAATTTATAGGACTTTGTGTTTTACAAAGGAGGGGCAGTGGAGAAAATGGCTGCTTCAAGATAGTACAGACTTTGATGCAAATAAATAGTTTGATATTATTGTGTTGAAAATCTTGCTCAGAGAATGTTCGGGCCTTTCCTTTGCTTTCTGATGGCTTCTCTGAAAAAAGAAGCCAGGCCAATGAGTCATGTGCAGTTACCTCTAGCACTCAGCTTCCCTGGGGCACAGCCAGGGACTGGTGTGACACCAGAGGTGCTAGTGTGAAAGCAGGTCAGGTGAAGCTTTGGCCGGGCCTGCAGGAAGACATGGGCAGGTATCTGAGGTCATAGGCAGGCTGGTGAGTAAAATGAAGAGAACTGCCCTTCTGACATAGATCTGCAGAAAGGTCGAGCAGAGGCAAGGAAGAGTTGGGAAGTAACCCGTACATGAGGAGAAGAGCAGAGGGGCAGCCAGTCCCTTTGTGCAGCCAGCCTGGCCCTTTCTGGCTGACCAGTGAGAACTTTTTGTTGGCAGTCACTTGCTGGAAGCACTTTTAGAAGTTAAGGGTCTGGCATTTCAGCCTTTTAATGAGGTGAGAGGAGAGCAGTGTAGTGATGACTGCTGGGTTAGTCTCTGAGAACCCTAGAGTGATCACCTGCTGTGGCCCCTTGTACAGACACAGAAGTGAGATGGTAAAGTGACACCCAAGTCCACGTGGCCTCAGCCACCCTGTGAAAGCAATTTCTGTGCCCGTCTTTGAGGCTTTTGTTAAGGAGCTAGCCTGCCTCAGGGCCTTCTCCATCTGCCCCTCATCATTGTTGGATGCTCTCATTGGAGGGAGGAGGGGCAGGAGAGATGGCAAACATGGTGGCCGCACAGGCAGGCCCAGTAGGAGGTATGCTGGCACCTTGCATGGCTCCTTGCCTTTGAGTGGACCTGACTGGCCTTTCTGCTCCCTGCTGCCATGGCTGCCCCATCCATGTAGCTCTAAGCACATGCTCACTTAACTAACCAGTATTTACTGGGTACCATTCATCATTACCATAGCAGCACTAAGCACAGTCACATGTCACTTAAAGTTGGGCTAAATTCTGAGATATGTAACTGATTTCCTCATGGGAGCATCATAGTATGCTTACACAAACCTAGATGGCCTAGCCTACTGCACACCTAGGGTGCATAACCGAATGACTGCACGGTAGATTTGTCTACACCAGTATGCCACACACATGGGAGTGATGGGTTGCCCTTCGACATCACCACCTCGTAGGACTTTTTTAACTCCCTCATATCTCTGGGTCTGCAGTCCATCATTGACCACGGGACTGTCTGTGTAGTGCTTGCTGTGTGCCAGGCATCTGCGTGTTATACAAGTCAGACCCATTCTGTCCTCACCACGCTCTGGAAGCTAGATGCTGTTCTTAATGCCTCCTTTACAGACAAGGAAGCTGAGAGCTTCTGTAAGTCGCCCAAATTCAGCTTGTAAATGAGAGCCAGGGTTTAGGATCAGGTAGTCTGGCTTCAGAGGGTGACTTCACTAGAATGTGATAGTCCCTCACCTCAGGACAGGGTACTGGCCTCACAGTGACCAACCTCAGGTAAAGAGCAACAGGTGATTACGGCTGTGGGAGCAGGGCACATTTAGGATGCAGGAGGACAGGACAGGCAGAGCTCTGGGACAGTCTGCCCAGCAGTACATGCAACTCAGAAGGCCTCTGAGGGCCACTGTGTACTTCCCAAGCAGTCATGGGAGGTGGGCAGTGTAGAGATTCACATATCAGAATGTGCGATTTGAGGTGCCCTTATATCAGGTTTCCCACCCCCCCCCCCTTTGGAAACCAAACTGTCGGTTCCTGTTGACCCTGTCCCTACATCTAACCCTAGGACTCCAGAAGCCATGTGGGAAAGGGGTGAGGAGTAACTTGCTTTACTGTGTGTGTGTGTTTCCTTTCTCCTTCCTAGTGTTGTAAGGTCTTTGGTTAACCTCGGCCTCTGGGAGTTGAGTGGCCTGGTTACCCTGGCTGGACAGGGCCCTCAGAGGGCCAAGAGGCTGTTGAAAGGCAGCCTGAGGGCAGAGCTGAAGAGGTCCTTGAGCCCCTGGGTCAAGGCATTTGCTCCTTCACTCACAGATGGCCTGAGGCCAATGAGGACCTTGCTCCCAGGTTTACAGTAGTTGAGAGGAAACAGCTTGCTTTCCCCCAGGCCTCACGTGCCCTAGGAGGTGTTGCAGGGACTGCTCCTTGCTGGGCTCTCTGCTTACCAGCTGTGCTGTGTGGGGCTTTGCATCAAATACCCAGAAGTAGCTTTGGTCTTGACAGAGAGGACCATATTGTGGATGGAGGCACACCCCTGCCTAAAGTCTTTGCATCTCTCCTCATTCTGGGAAGACAGATGAGCACAAACAAAAGCAGAGAGCAGGCATTTGGCATGGACTGCGCACAGAGAGGCTCCCTTTGTGGGCCAGCTGTGGCTGGTCCTCAGCGAGTGGAGGCTTAGAGAAGTGGAAACCAAGCTCAGGGTTCACATGGAGCAGCCAGAGGCAGGAACACAAGGGCCGAGTGGGGTTGAGGGTGGTAGTGGGGTTTGAGTGGGGTAGTTGAGGGTGTAGTGGGGTTGAGTTTGGCAGTAGTGGGGTTGAGGGTGTAGTGCCTTTGAGTTTGTTGGTAGTGGGGTTGAGTTTGGTGATAGTGGGGTTGAGTTGGTGATAGTGGGGTTGAGTTGGTGTTAGTGGAGTTGAGGGTCTAGTAGGGTTGAGTTTGGTGGTAGTGGGGTTGAGTTTTGTTGTAGGGTTGAGGGTGTAGTGGGGTTGACTTTGGTAGTAGTGGTGTTGAGTTTGGCAGTAGTGGGGTTGAGTTGGTGTTAGTGGGGTTGAGGGTCTAGTAGGGTTGAGTTTGGTGGTAGTGGGGTTGAGGGTGTAGTGGGGTTGAGGGTGTAGTAGGGTTCAGTTTGGTGGTAGTAGGTTGAGTTTGGTGATAATGGGTTTGAGGGTGTAATGGGTTTGAGTTTGGTGGTAGTGGGGTTGAGGGTGTAGTGGAGTTGAGTTTGGTGGTAGTGGGTGTGAGGGTATATTGGGGTTGAGTTTGGTGGTAGGGTTGAGTTTGTTGGCAGTGGGGTTGAGGGTGTAGTGGGGTTGATTTGGCAGTAGTCAGGTTGAGTTGGTGGTCTGGGGTTGAGTTTGGTGGTAGTAAGGTTGAGTTTGGTGGTAGTGGGGTTGATTTGGTGGTAGTGAGGTTGAGTTTGGTGGAAGTAGGGTTGAGTTTGGTGGTAGTAAGGTTGAGTTTGGTGGTAGTAGGGTTGAGTTTGGTGGTAGTGGGGTTGATTTGGTGGTAGTGAGGTTGAGTTTGGTGGAAGTAGGGTTGAGTTTGGTGGTAATGGGGTTGATTTGGTGGTAGTGTGGTTGAGGGTGTAGTGGAGTTGAGTTTGGCGGCAGTGGGGTTGAGGGTGTAGTGCCTTTGAGTTTGTTGGTAGTGGGGTTGAGTTTGGTGATAGTGGGGTTGAGTTGGTGTTAATGGGGTTGAGGGTCTAGTAGGGTTGAGTTTGGTGGTAGTGGGATTGAGTTTGGTGGTAGTGGGGTTAAGGGTGTAGTGGAGTTGAGTTTGGTGGTGGGGTTGAGGGTATAGTAAGGTTGAGTTTGGTGGTAGTGGTGTTGAGTTTGGTGGTAGGGTTGAGTTTGTTGGCAGTGGGGTTGAGGGTGTAGTGGGGTTGATTTGGCAGTAGTCAGGTTGAGTTGGTGGTTTGGGGTTGAGGGTGTAGTAAGGTTGAGTTTGGTGGTAGTGGGGTTGATTTGGTGGTAGTGAGGTTGAGTTTGGTGGAAGTAGGGTTGAGTTTGGTGGTAGTGGGGTTGATTTTGTGGTAGTGCGGTTGAGTTTGGCGGTAGTGTGTGGTTGAGGGTGTAGTGGGTATGAGTTTGGTGGTAATGGGATTGAGTTTTGTGGTCGTGGGATTGAGGGTGTATTAAGATTGAATTTGGTGGTAGTAAGTTTGAGTTTGGTGGTAGTGGGGTTGAGGGTGTAATGGGTTCGAGTTTTGTGGTAGTGGGGCTGAGGGTGTAGTGGGTGATAACTGAGGCATTGACTAACAGGTAGAGGAGGATTTTCTCTTCAAACTTGGCCCTCAAGGAACAGTGCCACTTCAGGAGCTAGCCCAGTTCTGTCCATGAGCGTATACCACAAAGGTCTTCTCCTGATTTGCAGTGAGCACTAATCAATAGACGTACCAGTGTTAAGTTTTTCTTGGATACTCTTTTCAAAAACTTTGGTGACTGCTACCTCTCGTTGTCTTGGAAATGTGAGCAGATTCCCAAGTGAACAGACAGGGAACGTGGAGATTGACACAGGATGTCAGCAGCTACTCACCCGCCGCAGCTTTTATTTTGTCCTACGGACATACAGGGAGATTTTGTTGAATACTTAAAAACACATATTTTCTGCTAGTTGCTAGTTGTCCCTTGTTTGTGTGTTAGAATGAAATCCATCAGTATATTGAGTGTTCCACAGAGCTGCCTGATGTCCTGAGGCCCTGGCACCTGAACAAGTCAAGAAGCCCCCTGGTGGTGGGGGGCCATTGGCAGTTCTTGAGGAAGGCCCATAATCATAATAGCCTAATGTGGTATAGTCAAGGACAGTGGGGGCAGGAGATAGAAGCTATTAGGAGTCCTCTGGCCCTGTGCCCTGGATGGGTTTGGCTGAAAGCGCTTTGCTATGGAACAGGCCCTGGGGGGACTGTGGAAATGGGTCCAGTGCTGTGGGTGAGGCTGGCAGAGAGCCGGGTTCTTCCTCCTGGGATGGTGGGGGAGCCATGCTGCCGCCAGAGCCTGGGTGTGTCTGCGCTGGGCTGGAGGGCTGGGAACCCCAGCTGGAAGTGTATCCCAGGCTCTCCTGAAAGGGATGCTCGCCTGGCCTGGCTGCATTGCACTCTGTCTCTTACTAGGGTTTTGTCTTAATTTACATAAAACTGGGCTGAAGACACCGGGACACTCAGGAGCTCCATGGATACTAACAGAGGCTCAACTGGAGACCTTGCTGCCACAATTTCAGTAGCCCAGGATGCTTTGTAATCTTTGTGGTGCTCACAGGAAGAGGAGTTGCTGTCAATCCTTGGCTTAGAAAGCACATCTTCCCTCCAGTGGGGAAGAGAGGAAAATATTAAAGAAGTCAGATGCCAGGAATTTGCCTCAGGTCACAAGTGATAGAACTGGAACATGAACCAGAATTTTTGATAAATATTACTTATTTAAGAACTTACTAGGTACCAGAGGTATTATAGATCCCCTAATATAACCACCTCTAAAATGGGTATGCCTACCTCCCTTTTTTTCCGTTTTTATTTTGGGGTGGGGTGTGCAGTATTGGGAATTGGACCCAGGGCCTTGGGCCACACTCCCTTTTGTTTTTGGTTTTTTTTTTTTTTTTCAGCTATGATATTCAGCTTTTGCCTGGCCAACCTTGAACCTCTATCCTACCTCCACCTCCTAAGTAGCTGGGATTATAGGCATGAGCTACTGTGCCCAGCTTTACCCTGCTTTCTGAATATAGAAGTGGGCTGAGAACTAGTGACCTCAGTGTGCATTACCTCAGAGCAGCCATCTTGTCGTTAGGAGCAAGGATCTCCTGTGAAGGAGGCTGGCACTTACTGTCCATAGCATCCATATTGGTGAGAAGGAGACCCTGGGAGGCTCCACATGGGTCAGGGCAGGTTGCTGCTGCCCTTTCGTGAGTTCTCCAGGAGCTCATGCTTCTTCCCCAGTGTGGGGCTGCCAGGCCATCAGGATGCTTCTGTAACACGGCGACTTGAACTAGGTAATGTTTGATCTGTGGGTGCGTAGACAGACCTCATATAGTCTGGGTAGACAGGGAAATAACCATTTTTGAGAGCTTTTTATGCCCTAGATGCTGAGCTGAGCCTTTACAGGCACGATCTTACCATGTCTCATGGCTTTCCTATGTGCAGTGCTAATCCCACTCTACAAATGAGAAAACCAAACCCTGCAGTTCTACAGCACTTGCCTGAGGACACACAGCTTGTAAGCAGTGGTGACCTCAAGCCAATCTCATTGCCAACCACGAGCTGTATCCTGAGCCCCGATATGGGAGCACAGAAGACTTCCTGCTGATGTGGAGGGGAGCAAGATGAGGCAGCCCAGGCCAGGGCAGAAATTGCTGCTGACGTCCTCCCCGCCAAGAAGAAGTGCAGCCAAGGCAGAAGTTCTCAAGAATTGTGACACACTTAGTTTTCTTCTGGAAAATGCAAGAGTTGGACCCCAGTTTCTCAGTCCTCTTCCGCTCTGGCATTCCTCCACTGTTCAGGAAGTGGGGGGCGGGCTGCAGCGTGGTCCAGTCTGCACATTGGCTCTCTTCTGCGGCTCTGCTGTGGCCCCTTCTTTAAGCAGTGGGGTGGGGGTGAGTGCCCCAGTTATGGGATTTAATTGATGTAGAAGAGGCTCCTGGAGCGCTCGGTGCAAGGTGCCCTGTAAATCTCAGGCCTGAAGGATTCTGGTACATTCATCACTGTGTCTAATGTCTGGATTGATCTGCAGGGTAGTCAATTTCATTTACTTGTTTCAGAATGAACAGACAGCTTGCCCCCTAAAGCTGCTGCCTGGGGCTCTGTAGAAAATCATGTCAGCACTGTCTCTCTGATCGCTTGCAATAAATTGGCAGCAGATTCCATCACTTTCTTTGGATAATAAAGTCAACTATTCACCAGGAGACAACATCAAACTTTGCAGCAAGAGAGTCAAAAATTCCAAGTAGTTATTATTTCCTCACTTAAGATTATGGAGAAATGTAGCTTTTAGTACTGGACTAAGGAAATGACAGCAGGTAAGTTGCTTCCTGTCTGGGAAACTGGTTTAGCTTGTTTGGTTTGGTTTTGTAGCACCTGGATTTGCACTCAGAACCTTGGGCTTGCTCGGCAGGGGTATACTCTTGAGCTACAGCAGCAGCTCTGTACGGTAGTGTCCTTTTGTCTAACTCTGGGTGATTCCAAGGCTTTGGAGGAGAACAAATGGGGATGTGCCAGCAGGATGAGCTCCAGAGCCAGCTGTTGGGGCTGGAGCAGGGCACTCACCTGTCCCACTACCATCCATCCCACACCAAACTCTCAGAGGCAACAACTCAAAGAACCACTCATCTCCTGGGTATCAGGAAGTGCCGGGCACTTGCTGGCAGTAACGCACCCGTGGCATCTATTATTAATAAGGATGCCTTGCGTTCGTGTCTCCCTTGAAACATTCTCGAAGGGCTTTCCCTTCCATTACGTCTTTAGTTATCCCAGCCACCCTCGGGGTGGGGCACACACAGTTATTATTCCTGTTGTGCAGTGGGGAGGGAGGAGGAAGCAGCTCCAAGGATTTGCTTGGAGTCACAGAGAAAGCCAGCAACGGGGCTGGGCTTGGATATCCAGGTGCCCAGACTCTGACGCACCCTGGGAAAAGTACAGCAGCACCCAAGGTGAGGGTGGTGGTGACCAGACTTCTGTCCAGTCTGGAGATGTCCATTCAAAACCCAGGTTTGGCTGGCTCAGCCCCCAGAGTTGTGGGGGGGTCAGTAAGCAACCCCTACACAACTGTACACAGTGTGCTGTGGGTTTGGACCGCTCTCATCTGGGGCTTTCATCTGAGGGCCAGCTCTGTGGTCTCTCTTTAGAGACAAGCAAGTAGCACCAGGAGAGGTGCCTTGGTCTCTTGGCTCTGGTTCCAGGCAAGAGCAATCTTGGCATAAGAAAGGAGCTCCTCAGTTGAGGGTCATATGGATGGCCAGCCCCTCACCACATAGGGTCTGCAGACAACACCCTGCCTCTGTGTGACTTGACCTGAAAGGTCTCGCCCAGGCTGGGAGGGACCAGTTAAGCAGGATGGCTGGACCTGTAAGTTAGCTCAGGACTGCACAGCCCGAGGGGACCACAGTCCTGATCTCTACCTTTGGCTTACCTTGTGGCACCTGATTCACCATTTCCAGTGTGGCTTCTCATCCAGGCAGACCTGGGTTTGAATACTGCCACTACAGTATACTAGTGAACTGTGTGCCCTTGGCCAAGTGACTTCATTCAAGAATGAAGAAGAAAATTTCTTGTTTTCTCCCCTGAAAAACAGGGGAAAGAGGGTCCACTTTGCAGGGCTGTGACAAAGAAGGGACACTATAAAGAGCACCTGCCATCACAGGAAATGATTAAGTGGGGAGCCATGGCTGGCCCCCTCCAGTTCCTGCAGCAGATAGCAACTGTTTCCCAGACCTTCCTCCCTTCTCGGACATCCCCTATGACTCCCCTGGGCCCCCAGAGTGGGCTTTCTGGAAGGGGGGATGGGAAGGGAGCCGCTTCCCAGAGTGCAAACCTCTCAGGAGTGCTGGCTCCATCACCACCAGCCCCCAGCTGCCCACTGGCTGTAACTCTGGGCAATGGCACTCTGGGGAGTTGTGAAAGTCAGAGCTTTTACCTCCATCTCCTGCATGCCTTAGGTGCAGTGTGGGATGGGCATGACTGAGGCCCGGACCCACCCTCCACCCGAGGAAGGGCAGGGAGTCCACAGAGCTGCCTGGCATTCCTCTGTGGACACTCACGGAGTCGCACACAGCCACCCAAATGTCCCACTATTTCAGACATCACAGACTGGACTTGGCTCCTCCTCCCTCTGCTGCTCCCTTCCTCCCCATTGCACACCAGGGCTGCCTTCTTGGCAGCCTCTCCAGTGCCTCAGTCCTCATCATCTTCATCCTGCCTGCCCAAGTGCAGCGGGTCCCCTCTCCTCTGGACACCCGGTGCTGCTCTGGTCACTCAGCTGCTGCCCACCTCTGCTGAAAGCCTGTCCATGGTGTGTTCTCTCTCGACGAATGGCCAGCTCAGCCTGGCATTCAAGGCCCAGTGACCTGCTCCACCTGTCCTTTTCCAAGTTGTCCCCCACGTGGCTTCTTCCCTTCCTCTTCTTAACGCCAGCTTCTCCCTGACCCAAGCAGTCTCCTGCACCTCTGGTTGACCTGTGCCCCCCATCAGCTGCTTCCCTTTTGTTCTCATGGTTTAGCTACTAATTTTTAGTGAGTCAGTTTTGCAGTTCAGAATTGCAACTGCTCCATACAAATTACTCTCATAAACCACAAAAAAGAGAAGAGCTGCTTCTGGTATTCTGGGATTTTTTAAAATCCTTCTTTAAAAGTTTTCTCCACTAAGAGGCCCTCAGATGTCCACAGTAAGTCACTTCTCTGTGTCCACTTCTTATGCTGGACTCAGGCAGGGGCCACTTGCTCAGTCTGGTATTCTGGGATTTTTTAAAATCCTTCTTTAAAAGTTTTCTCCACTAAGAGGCCCTCAGATGTCCACAGTAAGTCACTTCTCTGTGTCCACTTCTTATGCTGGACTCAGGCAGGGGCCACTTGCCCAGTCTCCATCTATTCGTGTGGCAGTTGCAATGCCACCTGAAGTCAACAGCGATTGCTCAGGCAGGATTTTGCTCCCACCAACTTGTAAACACCCCAAGAAATCAACTTCTAAAAGTAAAGCTGTTATAAAACAAAATACAGCCAAAACAAACAAGGAAGACTAAAAATACAGCTCATCTGTAGACCCATTTTCTAGATGGGGAAAGTGAGGCAGAGGGCAGGAGCCCCTTGCTTAGCATCTTGCCCCACTGCCTTCCCCCTTTCCTGTGGCCTTCCCCTAGAGTAGGCGTCCATGGCAGAGGTGGGTTTGCACACCATCTGACCCCATCCCTGCTCACTGACATGATCCACGAGGTGTCACCACTCAGCAAGCTGGGCCTGGCTAAGGATGGTGGCTGCTTCTAGTTGACAGGGTGCAGGTTTAGTGATACTGCTGGCTCCAGTTCTGCAGATGACAAATCACGCAGTGCCCTCCAGGCCCGTCATGTGGTGAGAGCAGAGTGACCACTTTATTTCTAAGAGCTGTAAATGCTGGGGTGCCGGAGCTAGCACAGTGCCAGGCAGACATGTGCACTAGTTTTGGTGCCTGTCTTGCTAGTGTTGACCCCAGGAAGTTTTCTCAAACTCTCTGAACCTCAGGTGCTTCACCTGTAAGACAGGGCTGGTGAGACCTGCCTCATGGGATCATCCCTTACTCAAGAAGGGAAGCCGTAACTATGCTGCTGGTGACCTAGGCCACCTGAGGATGGCTTGCATTTCCCAATGGCCTCCTCACAGCAGTCTTCTGGCTACATCCCAAATCCCCCATATAGGTACTGCCACTTTTAACATTTTTTTTTTTGTAGGTACTGGGTTTGAACTCAGGGCCTCATGCTTGCTAGGCAGGCACTCTACCACTTGAGCCACTCAATCAGTCCTTTTTTATGTTGGGTATTTTTGAGATAGGGTCTTGTGAACTGTTTGCCCAGGCTGGCTTCGAACTACAATCCTCCTGATCTCTGCCTTCTAAGTAGCCAGGATTATAGGCCTGAGCCTGGTTAAACCTTTTTTTTTTGGACAATTGTTGAGCTCCCCATGAATGCCGGTGGGATGGGGTGCATTTTGCCTGGGCGTGGCTCTGTACTCAGGCTTGTGCTCTGTACAGAGTTCTGGGCTTCTACCAGGATGCAGGTCTCATTCTTGCTCTCAAGGACAGGCAGGGAAGCAGCTGCTGACCATACCATGGGATTCCTGCCCTATCATGGTGAATCCATTAGGGCCACCAGAGCCAAAAAACATTTGGCCAACTAGTGAGGAAGCAGGCAGGACACATGCACAGTGAGAACAACCCAGAGTGGAGAGGAGAAAGAAAAGACTTGGAAAGAACCCATGAGCCAGCTCACAAAAGACCCACCATCCATACAGAAGAGAAACACGGTGGTCACAGACACAAAAGCCCTACCTTCTAAGCTGGGGAGATGAGGCTCAGCAGACTGCGATGGAAGCAAGGGTTAGGCCAGTGAGGAGACTGCTGTAGTCCAGCCCTTCCAGGACTGGGCCATAACGACGCTGTGACAGGACTGAGTGTAGGTGATTTGGAGAGCAGAACGGCCAGGATTCTAGAGTGTTTGTAGGGCAGATGGTGGGGGGAATGGAAGAGGAAGAGCTGGCTGTGGCCAGGATGCTGGACTCGGCTTTGGACCTGCTAAGGTCCCTGAGGGGTGGAGCCTGGGGTCAGTGAGCAGGTCTGGCTGTTGTCAGTGAGGATATGGTGAGGGAGGGGAAGAGACTGGCCCAGGGTCACAGGGCCAGGAAGGGCCTAGTTCGTTCTACTCTGTAAAGGCCTCAGGACTGCAAAGAGAGGCTGGGGCTACTGGGGTGGGCTGGCACCAGGCCAAGCCTGGCCACCAACCGAAGGAAAACCTCTGCCAACTAGAAGTCTCACTACAGCTGGTTTTTATTATTAAAGCCAAGGTGGGAAAATGGCAGTCCCCATGACCCTCCCTCTCCCTCCAGAGCCGCTGTTTCATGTTATGTGAAGGTGAAAACTAGATTTGTCTTGAAAAGAGATGCTCACACCGAAATGAGATGAAACAGGCTCAGATGGCAGTCTCTGTGTGACAGTGTCTGCTCCGCACAGGACTCCTGGAAAAGACGGCTGGGGTGGGGCTGGACAGCCCCTGTTCACAGTGCTGTGCCCAAGGGGCCGGGGTGGTGTTGGGAACGAAGGCAACGGAAGAGGCTGAGCTGGCCCCCACTCTCTACCCTGCTGAAGCTGGGCCACAGGCTGGGTTTTATAAAAATGGTTAAAAAAAAGAAAAGAAAAGAAGAAAAAACCAGCCTAGCCATGAGCACCACCCTCCCCTGAGCAGGGTGAGAGGAGGCACCAGCTCTGGGCTTTGAGGTCTGAGGCGTGTGGCCTCCTGGCCTGGCATCACCTCCCTGGAGGCAAGCAGCACCCTGAGGGAGGCCAGGCGGGATCCTGGGCCCCAAGTGTGGCCTTTGGTGGCCTCTGGGGTCCCGAGAGAGCTTCGAGATGGCTGTCTCCCCTTCTCCCACCCAATGAAAGGAACCTGCAGGCTCTAGGCCTCAGGAACCCGGTGCAACTTTTGTTCTTTGGATTCCAAAGATCTGAATTTCTCCTCCAGCCCTGGTGCTGCAGGCTGGAAGTGGATGACAGGCTTGATCTGAAAGACAGTGAGGCCCTCTTGGTTCTTCTGGTTGAACAGACTTACCCTGTGCGCCAGCTCAGGGCTGGTCTGAGCCAAACCTGCTGGACTGGGCCGGGCAAGGGCTGGGTCCAAGGCCCTCTGGGATGGGCAGGGATCCCCTGACAGGGAGGACAGTAGGTCCTGGACTGTGGCCTCTGCCGTCTGCTGCTTGGGAGGTGGTAGCAGTGGCAGGGGAGAGGGGCCAGGCTCAGAGGACGGCTCCTCTCGGGCGGTGCTGCAGTCTGTGGAGGAGCCCAGTGTCTGGCTGCTGTCACTCTGGGCCCGGGTGACTGAGCTTCGTGTGGAGCGAGAGGTGTTCTCTGAGGTGGCACTGGCACAGGTACCGTTGCCACTGAGTTTCAGGGGCACGTCGACTGAGAAGAGGTCTGAGGAGATGTTGGGCTGGTGGACGTCTATGGCAGCCGTGGTAACCACACACACAGCTGGTTCTGGGACCCCACTGTCTGCAAGAAAGGAGCCAATGTTGGTCACACTTTGCCTTTGGCCACACCTGGCTGGACCCTGGTGAGATCGTGACTGAGTGGAGCCAGGGGTGGGGCTGGGCAGCAGGTGTGGGTAGCTGATGTGGACAGCCTCACCTGCTGATCTAAAGTGCAGACACCTGACATTCTTTGGCTGGTCACCCATGAGGACTGACCTGTGGAAGTGTTTTGAGTCAGTCAGTTCTTTGTCCTGGTGGCCAGCAGTGTACTAGAATGGGTAGTGGATGCTCTCTCCCTGGGCACTGGAGTGAGATGACCTGACAGCAAAGCTCCAGACAACTGCTGTTGACTTCATTACTTTAAGCCACTGAGAGGCTGGGTTACTTGCCACAACAACCTAACCTGGCCATCCCAGCTAACTCAGAAAGCATGGTGTGCCAGGACAAGGGGCATTCCAAGTTTTAAATGGGCCTGAATGGAACGTGGTCTGATCCAATTTGAATTTGGAAGGATGGATTAGTCAATTAGTCTCTTAGGCAAATCTCAGGAGCTGACAGAGCCCTCAGCAGCTCTTTTCTTGAGGAGCTGGATGACAGTGGGCGTAGGGTTGGGATGTGTGTCCCCAAAGTTGTAGGAGAGTAAACTGGGAAAGGTGTCTTGGCTGAGAAGATGATCCTTGGAGCCAGCAGACTAGGTGAGGTTTAGAGAAAGGAGAAAAAGGGGATGAGGTCTTAGTGGGCTAAACACTGGGGGGAAATTCAAATTTGATGCAATAGGCAGACATTTTGAAGGATTATGAAATTCAAACTCAAGGTTTAAGACATTGGCTACAAAGAAACAAGATGCTGATGGATAAGGTTTTTTTTGTTTTGTTTTTTTTGTGGTTCTGGGTTTGAACTCAAGGCCTACACCTTGAGCCACTCTACCAGCCTTTTGTGATGGGTTTTTTTCAAGATAGGGTCTCATGAACTATTTATCCAGGCTGGCTTTGAACCGCGATCCTCCTGATCTCTGTCTACTGAGTAGCAAGGATTACAGGTGTGAGCCACCAGCACAGGGTAGTAGTTTTAACATAAGGCAAGCCAGGAGTGCTAGGCCTGCTGCCTCTCAAGCCAGTCATGCTGTGTGAGCTCAGCATCTCTCAGGCTCACCTGAGGGAGTCTGAGGGAGGAGGTGGTGGTCACTCAGGTTTTAGTCCTCTTTCCATTCAGGGTTCCACACATAGCTCTCCCTGGTCACTGATCACATTGCACCCCATCCCAGCCCCACGGGCTCACCCCTGGGGCACCTCAGTTCAGCTCTGGAGTTTACTGGAGGCTGAAGCTGCAGGTATTTTAACCTTGATCTGTGCCTGCAATAATGGTCCATAGGCACCAGACGGGCAGGCCTTGGTCTCTGAAGCCAGGCTGTCCTTGGGTGTGTGGGGTCACAGGCAGTCTGGGGCTGCATGGGGGTCCTGGTACAGGTAGATCATCCCGACTTACCACTGCTGGGCCCGTTGTAGTACTGACTGATGTAGCTGTTCATGTCGTCTTTCACGGTGGCTTCTATGGAGGTGGGTACAGACAAGGGTCATGTGATAGCTTGTCAGAGAGTCCAAGAGGCAGGGACTGTGGCAAAGTTCCTGCTCTATTCCAATGTTCCTGACCCCTTTGGCCACGAGAAGAGGCACCTATCTTTCAGAAGCAACTTTTGTCATTGCTGTGACCAAACACCCGAGAAAGTCAACTTCAAGGAGGACATTTTATTTTTATTTTGGCTCAATTTCAGAGGTTTCAGACCACAGTCCTTGACTCTGTTTATTCTGGGCCCATGGTGAGACAGACCATTTTAGCAGCAGTAGTGTGTGACAGAGGCTGCCCACCTCAGGTGGACAGGAAGCACAGAGAGAAAGGGACCAAGGACCAGGTATAATCTTCAAAGGCACACCCCCAGTGACCCACTTCCTCTAAGCCCCACCTTCTAAAATCTCTACCACCTACCACAGTAGCACCACCATCTGTCCCAGGGCTGGGCTGCACTGGGAACCAGGGACCCAGCATGTGCCTTGATACCTGGCCTGGACAAGCCCTCCCCTTCTCGGTCCCCAGTTTCCCCACTGCTGAGATGAGCAGTGTAGAAACAGCTCCTCAGATAGGTGTTTACCTGTTTACATGGCCTGAGTCTCTGCATCCACCTGAGGTTCTTAGGGTCACTGAAGTGCTGTCCTCAGTACAGAGCTACAAAATCCTGCCAGCCACAGGGGCTGATGCCCTTAGGGACAGTCCCCATGGTCCATCTGAGGACTCCAGTCTTTCATGCCATAGGGGAGTAGACCCATGGGGCAGTCTGGAGACTCCCTCACATGCTCAGTTCCTACACACAGTTGGTGCTCTGTAAATAGTTATTGAGCAAGCAATGGATGGGAAGGTGAAAAGCTGCTCATGTCATAGGAGATGACATGGGAACAGAGACGTCTTCTGAGAAGGATGAGGAAGGAGTGGGAAAGAGAAGTGAGACTTCAGAGTGGCTGAGGGCAGGAGGAAAAGCAGGTGAGAGAGACGACCTGGACCCAAAGGCTGTGAGGAGTCACAGGAAGGTCTGACACCACCAGTGTGATTTGGAGGGGTCACTCCAAAATTGTGGGGAGAATGGTTTGGAAGAGCCAGACTCTAGGCCAGGGACCAGAAGGACAAAGTTCCAGAGGGTGACAGGCCCTGAGGGCACGGGTAGTGCCTGAAGACACAGAGGGATAGGCTCCTTAGATTGTCACCTTGTCAGACTGAGCTGTGGAGCTGTTCCCTCCTCTCCAGGTGAGGCTGGGGTGTGAAAGGGCATCGGACTGTCCCATGTCTTAGCTAGTGGCCCTCTCTGAGCCTCTGTCCCTAGTGAAACTTACTCTCCTGAGTTGTCACTAAGATTAAAGGGGTTAAGGAGCACGTCAGATTCCTAGACCGGAGCCAGGCAGCCCGAAGGCCTTCGACACACTCTGTGAAAGGCTGGGGAGGTGCTCCAGGCCTGAGTTCACACCCTCAAGCTTCTCTGTGGGCCGAGGTCTGCAGGTGACAGACCAAAAGCTTTCCTGAGGCCACCTTCCCTAAAACAGCTGCAACAGTCACCCTACCCTCATGCCACCTTCGGAGTATGAGTGGCTGCACACGCAGAGGCCTGGCTTTTAAAAGCTTTTCTGGCCTCTTTTGATCTTTAAATGCCGGTGGTCAGAGGTGTGTTTGGCACTAATGCTAGAGCTGAGGGAGGGCCCGGAGGCTCCAGGCCCTGCCCCTACATTAGCTGGCAGCACACTTCTCTGGGGCCTTCCCTAATGGGGTTGCAGGTGCCATCCAGCCCCGCCCAGAAGCAGGAGGTGGCTGCTCTCAGCAGGCAGTGGAGGTGCAGAAGCTCCTGTCCACAGGCCAGGAGGCTCTGTTCACTTGTTCAGGGTGTCTTGATGCCACCACTGGCCCACTGTGGGAGCTTGAGGTCACACCCCCTCTCTGGGCCTCGGTTTCTTCATTTACACTACGAAGGCCCTGGCGAGGCTCTTACACAGTGTGATGCAGTGGGCTAGATGGCTTTGAAGGACCAAGAGGTGACACAGAAGAGAGGGATGGGCCAGAGGCACCTGACCATCCTACAACCTCAGAGCAGGAATCACCTCCTTGGTACCTGCCTGCTGGGCCCTCTCACTGGCTGATGACCAGCTGTTGGGCAACTTCCATTCCTTTGTCCTCAACAAGGCCACAGTTTGCCAGGTATTGAGGTCAGGGGTCCTGGCCTCTGAGAGCACAGTTGGGGACCCTGTGCTCCCAAAGCACACTTTTTTTTTTTTAGTAGTATTGGGGGTTGAACTCAGGGCCTCACGCTTGCTAGGCAAGCGCTCTACCACTTGAGCCACTCTGCCGGCCTTTTGTGTTGGGTATTTTGGAGATAGGGTCTTGAGTACTATTTGCCCAGGCTGGCCTTGAACCGTGATCCTACTGATTTTTACCCCTGAGTAGCTAGGATTACAGGCATGAGCCACCAGCACCCCTCCAAACACTTATGTTTAATCCTCACCACTGCCCTGCAAGGCCGTGATTATTTAACAGAATGATCCTTCTGGGATCTGGCATATTCAGCTCCCTAACACAACCTAATGTCCTCCAAGTGTGTTTAGCAACCATCCTCCCTGCTGGCTCACGTGGAGCTTTGGGCCAGCGCAGTCTCTAGCGTGGGGAGCAGGGCGGCCTTCACCACATTGCACTCGTAACCTTCACCAGGATTTTTCTTCATCATCCCAGGCAAATGTGGGCCCATGGGTGTCAGTCCAGAGCGCAGCCTGAGAACACATTCTTGGGTCTGCCTGCCAAGGTACCTATTCCCCCTCCTGTCCTGGTGTTGCCTGAGTATTTGAAAATGCTCATGTCTTCACCCCAGCTGGTGAAGTCACCCCAGCCAGGTGACTTCAGCCCACACCTCTCTTCTGAGCTCAGACTGGTCTGCCTAACCATCCCTGGACAATTCCTGGATGACCTCCAGCTCCCTCTGACTCAACAAGTCCAAAATAGAACTCAGTTTCTCCCTCTCCCTCCTGCAACCTCCACCTTGGTCACTAGTTGTCCTGTCCCCAGCCCAGGCTGAGACCCTGGTCACTTTTCAGTGTCTCCTGGCTTTCCTTACTAACACTCTGATTCCTACCAAGTCTGTGGCCAGTCAACAGACCCCTGATGCCACCCCCACTTCATGGTTTCCCCTCGGGGCTCCTGTCCTGCCTGTTGGTTTAATGAAGGCATCCCTCACTCCCTGTATGTCTGGTATCAGCTTGGGTCCCCAGGCAGCCAAGGGAGTTCTGCCCACGGTACTCTACTCCCACACCTGTACTGGCTCTGAGTCTGAGCCAGGCCTGCCCAGTCTTCTCTGGTGTAGCTCTGTCTGCCCTCTGTGTCACCTGGCCACCTGGATCATCTCCCAGAACTGACCCCTTGGGCTGGGACTCTGTTCCCACCCACGCTGGAGCTGCAGTTCACTCACTCAGCCTCCCCAGCATTTAGCGTGGGGCTTGGCATCTGCCAGGCCCATGAGGGTGGCCTGGAAGAAGACTGGGGCCAGGTCAGAGCCTGTAGGACCTCCCAGCTCCCCACCACAGAAGCCATAGGGCTACCAGGGGATGCTCTCTGCCCTGGCCAGCTTTCCCTTGGGAGCTTGGGGGTGTGAAGGGGTGGGGACCGGCACAGATACACACATCACTGCCATCTTTCACCTAAGAATGAGCCCCTGAGCCTGGGGTTCATTTTGAATCAGCACTGAGGAGCCTTAGGGACACAAAACCTTTGTGTCCCTTGCAGACCCTTGAGGGACAGTAAGAAGAGGTACAAACACAGGCTTCAGAACAAAACTGACCTGATTGCCAACCCTAGTTCAGCACAGCACCTGCTATGTGGCCTTAGGCAAAGCCCTCAGCTGCTCTGGGCTTCAGCTTCCTTACCCCCCCATAAAATGGAGATACCAAACCCCTAGCTCCACTAGGCACTTCCTCACCTTCCTGAGCTGGGCCCACAGCACTGGCCCCAAAGTCTCAGGTGACATCAGCAACAACCAATTTCTGCTGTCAGGGCCTTTCTTCTCAGAGTGTGAGCACCCTGCAAAGGCAACCTGACTCATCCTCCCAGAGTCCTTTGTGTGCAGAGGGGGCAATGCTCTTTATATAGGGTTTCCCCTTGGGTGGAGCCCCTGACCTGCTCATTGAGGCAGAGGAGAAAGGGTGGTGAGTAGAGTGGGCCAGATGTCCTGTAGGTAGTAGGACACTGGATGCTCTCTGTGGCCAAGTGTCAAATGGGCAGGGATGCCCAACCACCTATCCTGCAAAGACCTACACCCCAAAGCCCAGGGGGACACTCTGAATCCTGATTTGAGGTTCTTGCTCCCAAACCCCCACTTGCTGATCCATGGCTTGGAAGCCCTCACTGAGAGAATACATTACTGTTCCCTGAGCGCCTACTGTATACCAGGTGGAAGAACTGAGCACACACCTGGATACTGAGCCCTCCTCAGTGAAGAACTGATGCTATTCTCACCCTGGAAACACCTGGGCTCAGAGACAGAACCAGCTACACAACTTATAAGCCTCTGATTTAAAAAGTATTAAGAATTTCAGGGCTGGTGGAGTGGCTCAAGTGGTAAGAGCACCTGCCTAGCAAGTGTGAGGCCCTGAGTTCAGACTCTAGTGCAGCCAAAATAAGTAAATAAATGATAAAAATAAAAGTATTAAGTATTTCCAAAGGGTGAGAGCAGTACACTGAACCTTCCCTGGGGCCCTATGTGACCACAGAGGTCACATGTACACAAGTTAAGTAATATGTTCAAGGCTAAGTTGAGATTCAAACTCAGACCTGAGTCCTTAACCCATGTCACTCAGGTTGCTTCAAAAGCTATTCTGTGTGAGACTTTCCCAGGTCTACGCCTATAAACTCTGGGAGCTCCTAGGGTCCTCCGTGTCCCCATCAGGCCCACAGCCTTGGGTCCTCCAGGAGCACATGGGCCCTGTCCTTTCCAAAAGTGCATCCTGGGGCCAAGGCAGCTCCCTACCCTCTGCTGGTTGGCAGAGGGAAGGTTCAGGGTGGAATGGTTGGAGGCACCTCTGTGGTGGTTTCTCTGGACGCTGGTGCAGTGTGAAGGGACGCCAAGGCTGGCTGTGATATATGGTGACATCCATGGCACTCCTACCAGAGGCTGTAATTCATAAGTTATGGGCGAGCTTCAAGACTAATAAATTTGGGATAGAAGTATTAATGACTACACAGGGGTATTGTGAACTTGGCAGGGCCCAAAGCCTGGAACTTTGCAGCCTAGGTTTTAAAAATGATTTGTGCTAGAGCAAGTCTAAACAGAAGCAGGTCGGCCTTGTCTGACTGTGACCAGCTGGCAACTGTTGAGACTGCAGAGTCGCTTCCTCTTTGTAGAGCTGGGGCTGGCACTCCTGCCCTCCCCCACCCAGGGAGGGCCACCATGCAGGGGTGACGCTGGCCCCCTCCCAAGGTTCCCATGACTCACTGCTGTGTCTGCAGGTTAATGCCCGGATTGTCTGTGTCCTATTGTGCATACAGAGGCCTCAGAGCCCTGCTGGCCTGAAGGTCAGAGCTAGCAACAAATACTGCCCTTTCTTAATCTCCAGAGTGGCTCAGAGTGCTCCTAGCTTGTCCGACCATAATTTCCACCATCATGGAAATCCCTCCCTGGACACAACTCCCGGTCAGAGTGAGGTCAGCTGGGGGATGCCCTTGTGTCCCTGGACCACTCGAGGCTGTGAATCATGATGGTCTCTCATGGCCCCTGCCATCTGCCCTCTGCCTCAAGGCTGTGGCTGTGCCATGGAGGGCTCTGAAGGTTGGCTATGACACGGCAGATGGAGGATGAACAGTGAATGGGTAGTACAGGGCAGGTGCGCATCCAGAGTGGGAAGTGCCCAGGGATGTCGCAAGGGAGGTGACAGGGAGCAGGCGTGAGGTTCCAGGGCTGGGGGGGAGAGGCATCTGCAGTTGCTGCCAGGGGTGCATGTGTGGCACCCCTATGGGAGGCTTTATTTAGGATTCTACCCTCTTACCTCCTAGTTGCTAGGATGGTGAGAGGGGTCAGCACAGATCCCAAGACACCTGGCTAGTGACACAAAGCCAAAGTTTCCCCTAAGTGGACTTTGACCCAGATCCAGCTTTCTCCCTCTGTGCAGCCTCCCTCCTTTTCCTCCTGGAAGTTTTCCATTGTGGGGGCTTCTTAGAGAGGAGTTCCCAGGGAGAAAAAACAGAGGCTCAAAACTCCATCGCTTTTCTAGAATGTGAGAGATTATTCAAAAGGCTTCCTTGCTTTGTGGACCCTCCAAGCCCAGGTCTTGGCTCTCTGTGGGAACAAATGCAGCATCCAGTGCCAGGGCTTGTAGGTCACTGGCTAAGGTACAACACCACTGGTGCTGTTATTCTGTTGTCTGCAGAGGCAAGGACCCTGATGAGGGAGGCAGGGAGGCTCTGAAGAGGGGCTGGACTGGAAGTGCTCAGAGCCTGGAAAGCAGATCCAGGTGAGTGACAGCAGAGCTCTCTCTGCTCCCAGAAGGTCCAATGGGCCATACTGTAAATGAGCTCTTCCCATCCTTGAGAAGCCAGGTGACGAGGACAAGACCAGACTAAGGGAGCAAAATCAGAAGAACTTTCAGGAAGAGTAAGATGGTGGCTTCCACAAGCCACCACAAGCCTGGAGAGCTGAAAGCCAGCAGCAGAATAGATAACTGCCACCTGGCACACCCAGAAATGCCCAGGACACCATGCTGCAGGGTCCCATATGAGATCAGGCAATGTCCCAGGGCCTGACTTTGCTCTTTCATCCATTTTGGACTTAATGCACATCAGGCAGGAAAACACTTAAAAGCTCACTGTCTAGTGAGCTCCCACAGGGCCTAGTGGCTGGTGGGAGTTCCTGTGAGGTCCTGCAGGAAGGATGTGCACATCCGCTGAAGGGCTGGACTCAGCAGTCCCTTCTGTTTCCCAATGCTATGTTTCTAAGATCTGAAGATACCTCAAAACATCCTAACCACACCTCCTGCTCTCTGTGGCTTACAATCTGTTTTGGTTTGGATTTAAATGTTCCCTGAAAGCTCATGTGCTGAAGGTTTGGTGCTGATGCAGCAGTGTTCAGAGGTGGGTCCTTTGGGAGGTGACTGGATCATGAAGGCTCTGACCTTGCCAGTGGGTTAATCAAATTTTGGATTCACAGCATAATGACCTTTGGGAGGTAGTGGAAATTTTAGGAGGTGAGGCCTAGGCGAAGGAAGGTCACTCCAGCATGCCCTGGCTTGTCTCTCTCTATTTTCCTCCTTCCCTCTCTCCTTCTGGACTGCCACGAGGTGGACAGCTCTGCTCCATGATGCTCTGCCCTGTCACAGGCTCAGAAACAACAGGACCAAGTGGCACAGATGAACTGCCATGAACCGAAGTCAATCAGGTATTTGTCAGTGAAGGCACGCTGACTGACACACAGCCCACATAGCTTTCTCATGCCTTCTGTGAGGCAGCTGGAGCTGGAGTTGAATCCACTTACAGAAGGAACCCTGAAGCCTTAAGTCATGGGCTGGGGAGCGGCCCAACCTGCTCAGCCTACCTGGCTCCGTCTTTGCTGCCCTGGCAATGGGGACATAGTTCACCAAGGTGAAGTCGACCTGGATCAAGAGTTCCAAGCAGCCAGCACTACTGTTCTCTGGCTGTGTGGCCCTGTATACTTTTTTTTTAATGCTCTTTTGACAGCTAGCAAAACCAAGGCCCAGAAAAGTAACATCCCTTCCAAAGCCACACAGCTGGCTGACTGCAGAATTAGGATTTGGATCTAGAAAGTGCTCCTTCTCTGTGATACCCTGCCCTCAGTCATGGACCCTGTTCCCATCTCTACTCACATCACAGCCACCAATTTGCTCCCATTTGCAAAGCTTAGGTTCTGGGCTATTTGGGCGGCAGGCCTGGATTTCTTATCTGGGCCTCTGTAGGTGTCAGCCCAGTAGGAAAGTCCCAAACTCCTGGGTCTCCCCAGGAGTAAATGGCTCTACCAGTTATCTGTACTGTGCCTCTGGATCGCTTTCCTGGGTTTCAGGCTCTTCCATAAAATAACAAAGTCATAGCTCCTGCACCAGCTGCTTTGAAGGCAGGAAATGGAGAACACAAAGCAAGCCTGCAACCATGTGCTCAAAGTAAGTACAAGTCATGAAGGTTGTTTTTAGTTTGGGTCACAGCGGCCTGACTAATGCTCGCTCCTGTACTGTGAAAGGTACTTCTGAGGGCACTGATCTGAGGGTGCCCTTCCCCTGCCCCCATCATGGACAGGGCACAGTCCTGCAAGGTGCCTTGAGCCCCCAGCACTGTGCGCAGAGCCCTGGAGTGCAGATGGGGATGCCCTGGTGCCTGCAGACTCACCTTGCGAGGGCCTCAGCTCCTCCACGACGCTCTCTGCCGCGGTCTCCTCGTCCCACGGTCGGGCCTCCACCACCTTGTAGCGGCTGCGGGGCTGGCTGAGCACGTGTGGGACCTGCAGCGCCGCCTCCCGCTCTGCAGCCAGGTCCAGGTCCTGCTGCGCCAGGTGCGCGCGCAGCTGGCGGATCTCAAACTGCAGAAGGCAGAAGGGCGGGGTGGGTGTGCTTGCGGGGCACACCTGGATGGACCAGGGACCCGAAGCCTGATGTCGGGGCACTTTGCTCCTGAATGGGGGTGAGGGTGGGCACACTCAAAGGCTGGATGCTGCACCCCTTAGAAATCTCCCAACAAGCTGGGCCCTGCTGGCTCACATCTGTAATCCTAGCTACTTGGGAGGCAGAGATCAGGAGGGTCATGGTTCAAGGCCAGTCCGGGCAAAAAAAAAAAAAAAAAAGCAAGACCCTATCTTATACCCAACACAAAAAATGAAAAGATGTCTGGTGGAGTGGCTCAAGTGGTAGACCACCTGCCTAGCAAGCGTGAGGTTCTGAGTTCAAACCCCACTACCACACACGCACAATCTCCCAACAAAACTAATCACAAGAGCTTCTTATGTTATAACAGAACCTTTCCTAAGTAATCAGGTGTGGTCCTGTGTCTCAGATATCCTGTCGTCTGGCCCCCTCAGGAAACCTGCATTTGAATCTGGCTCTAGCTGTTCATGCACCCCCAAGAGGTGCTTGACAAAATCAAAGCCTCATTCCAGTGTCCTATACTGGTGCTTCATGGAAGCCAGGATCTCAGAACACCTAGGGCGCATGTCCATAGGAGCCCATCCTGGATGATATGCCAGCTGGTCTGGACACTGGCTCATTTGTCTTCCAGGGACACCCACTTCCCTCTCCCACAAGGAGTTGGGGGCAGCTCTCAGCCAGACAATCCCTGTGGCTTCTGGGCATGTGGCTTGGGCAAGTCCCTTCACAATGCCTGGGGTCTCGGTTTCCTTGGCTGTAAAATGGGACTCTCACCTCTTTGAGGATTTGGGATTCTTCCTGAGAATTTGGTAAAAAGACAGCATGCATTTTTATTTTAGTTTACTTTTTGTTGGGGAAAGCTTCTTAGAAAGGCTTCCAAATAGCTCTTGGGTTTGTGACTGGGATGGCTGTTCACACTCCAAACCTTCCCCTGACCATCTGGGTGTATGCCAAGTTTGAGTCTGACATTGAAGGACCAAAGGCTCCCGGCTAGGCAGGAAGGAGAGCTTTTACTGCCACCTAGTGTTCATGGCATACATTGTGGTGCCTTTGGGCCTCCCCAGACTTATTCAGATGTTATCCTCTCATCTTAGCTGAAGCCAAAAAATGTAAACACTTCCCTTGTTCCAACATCTGATCAGTTCTCCTAGTCCAGCTCCTCCTGGAGGAGGTCCCCTCCTGTGGCCAGTTCCACCACCAGCTCTCACCAGGCCAGCACAGCATCTGTGTTCCTCTACTGCAGTTCTCCCACAGGACTCATGGGATTCTGGAAACCCTAAACCAGATCATAACACCCCTGTCCCCAAGCCTCACTTGGGAGAAAGCCCAAACAAAGCAGGTGCACAGTCTGGTCCTGCCCACTTGGCCAACTTCATCTCCCTCTCTTTCATTTTCTGTCTGCATAATGCAAGCCTATGGCTGTCCCATAAAGGCACCAAGCACGTGTGGTCTTAGGGCCACTTCCCCAGTCACTCCTCTGTCCCAGTGATGTGGCCAGCCTCCCCCCGCCGGAGGGGCTCCCCCAGAGCCCCACTCAGGCCCTCAGTCACAGCCTCTTTGAAGCCTCTGCATGATGTTTACCATGTTCTGACACTGTTACCTATTTATTTTAATTTTATAAAAGCAGGACATGCACACAACTGAAAGCATTCACTGACACCGGGGTGGCCAGGCAGCAAATTGACAATGGACAACTTCCCAGTGTCCGTATTTGCCTGTTTTGTGTCTGGGATGGCTAAGGTGTCCAGAGAGTTCTTTATCTTCCTGCTGGAGGACATACCTCTCTAGTTGCTTCTGGGCTGGGACAGGCGAATGGGGCAGAGGTCCTACCGTTGGGGGAAGGACTTTCACTTATTTAGCCCTTGTTTTCAGGCCTATGTCTCTTCCCTGATCAACCCAGTGCCAGAACATCTAGTTAGATTTTTCCATAGGACAAACCTCTGGCCTCTTGTAGGGTAGGGCATGGTCTCCTGGCTGTGCGGGACTTGGAAAGGTGCCTAAGGATTTCAAATATTATTTTAGCCAGTCCCCCTTCTCCCATCAATGACAGCTTCACACCACCTCCCACCTCCTCCACTCCCCTCTCCCTGATTCTCAGAGGTCCTGGGGGGAGATTTTCCTTTTCTCTTCACTGTCCTCCTCTGCACGCATGTAAATTATAAATTCTCCATTCTGCTGGATTTTTTGCTACTTTCTTGTCTATTCTCCATTTCTCCCTAATCCCCTGAAATCTTTTTCCTCTTTGTCCTAAACTACAAGACTTAAAGAGACAGTTTCTTAATTCTTACGCATTTGTTTTTCTTCCTTTACTGTCATTTTAGCAGGAAGGAGATCAGATAAATATAAAGACTTCACCACTTTACCTCTCTTTCACTCCCCTCCTCACAGTGTGGCAATAAAAGAGAAAAGCAAAAACAAAACCACCTGCTTCATAGTGAACAGTAGTCTTTGTACACAGTATATGTACACAGCGCATACACTCCTACTGTGGCTGATTTCAAGCTGCCAATGCAATGTCCTGGGGAATTGAGAAAAAATGGGCACAAGTTGTCACAAGCCATTGAGATCCCAGCATGCCACCAATGTCTATCGCCCCTAATAGGATATAATCCACATCACAGTGGGGACTTTCTGCTGCTTCCTGTACATAGGAGGCACTCCTATGATGGATAGATGAGTAAATGAAACTAGCTTGCTTGTCAATTCTGTAGTTTCTGACCAAGCCTAATTCCAGCCACAGTCTGAGCCCTAACTTTACCCCAAAGCAAAAAAAAAAAGACCTCGAGCCCTGACCTGAGTCAGAAACTGAGCCCTTACTTAAAAAGCTAGACATTGATCTACCATTTGATCCAGTAATACCACTCTTGGGGATATACCCAAGAGACTGTGACACAGGTTACTCCAGAGGCACCTGCACACCCATGTTTATTACGGCACTACTTCACAATAGCCAAGTTATGGAAACAGCCAAGATGCCCCAGCACTGACGAATGGATTAAGAAAATGTGGTATCTATACACAATGGAATTTTATGCAGCCATGAAGAAGAACAAAATGTTATCATTCGCTGGTAAATGGATGGAATTGGAAAACATCATTCTGAGTGAGGTTAGCTTGGCCCAAAAGACCAAATATTGTATGTTCTCCTTCATATGCGGACATTAGATCAAGGGCAAACACAACAATGGGATTAGACTTTGAGCACATGATAAAAGTGAGAGCACACAAGGGAGGGGTGAGGATAGGTAAGGCACCTAAAAAATTAGCTAGCATTTGTTGCCTTAATGCAGAGAAACTAAAGCAGATACCTTAAAAGCAACTGAGGCCAATAGGAGAAGGGGAACAGGTACTAGAGAAAAGGTTAGATCAAAAGAATTAACCTAGAAGGTAACACACACGCACAGGAAATTAATGTGAGTCAACTCCCTGTATAGCTATCCTTATCTCAACCAGCAAAACCCCTTGTTCCTTCCTATTATGGCTATACTCTCTCTACAACAAAATTAGAAATAAGGGCAAAATAGTTTCTGCTGGGTATTGAGGGGGTGGAGGGGGAGGGAGGGGTGGAGTGGGTGGTAAGGGAGGGGGTGGTGGGGGCAGGTGGGAGAAATGACCCAAGCCTTGCATGCACATATGAATAATAAAAGAAAAGAAAAGAAACTGAGCCCTAACTCTGGTCAGACTGGGCTCAGGCTGAAGCCTTCAACAACCCAGCCCTCAAATGGGGCTGAGAAAAGCATGGCTAGCTCATTAACATGGCAGCTCTCTGTGCAGGGGGAAAGGGTGTGAGTCACCCCTCTGGCAGCGAGATATCACGGTCATGGAGGGCCCCATGAGGCAACCCTCCCACGCTCTGCGGGGGGGGAGGGGGCGCCCTCCTGTCCAGGCCGAGCAGAGTCCCCCTGGGCACACCCAGCCCGCTTTCTCAAGGCCACGCATCTGGGCCTGTAGGCCCCACTAATGGCTTCCTCGGCCACTCTGAAGGGATACATTATTGATGGCTTGTAATTGATATGGAGCTGCCCTATGGTGTCCCACTGGAATTCGGGCCAGACAGCTGGAGGCCAGGGCCTGCCCAGCTTCAAGCCCATGTGTGCAGGCACAGACATACACAGAAAGAAGTTTTGAGCTAAAGATGCGAACCCCAAGCGTGTGGCAGTTTTCCCATTCAGAACTCAGGTAAAGCCTGGTGGGGGCCGTGTTAAAATTCCATTCTGTTTTGAGGTAAGAATGCCTGCCCCAACTTAGAGGTTGAGTCCTGTGTAGCCCCAGGGAGGGGGGTGATCTGTGGCACCAAGGAAATGTGTCCTTTGAGAGTCACAAGGGCTGGGCCCGGGTTAGTATTTGTGGCAGAGGAGGCACAGTGTATACAAGAGACTGGGGATCAGTAGGTGAGGGGGTCTGGGGGCCACACCAGGCAGAGCCATGTTTGAAGGACTTTGGCTTTTTTTTTAAAGAGTGACCTGGTGGAGTGGCTCAAATGGTAAGAGCACTTGCCTAGCAAGTGTGAAGCCCCAAGTTAAAACCCAAAGGCTGCCAAAAAATAAAAAATTTTAAAGAGCAACAAGAAATCACGGAACTCTTCACACTGAAGGGTGGAGTGGGGGAGGTGAAGAAGTTTGAGAGGACCGCGCTGACTGCCAAAAGGGCTTGGACGGGGCAGGGTGGGCATAGGAAACCCGCTGGGAGGCTGCAGTGGTCCAGCCAGAGATGCCAGATACAGACCCAGATGGAGCCAGTGGAGAAGGAGAGAAGAAGAAGGACCTGAGAGTTACTTAGGAGGTGAGTGTCAGCACATGACATGGGTTGGAATGGAGGTGAGAGAGCAGGGACCTTAGATTTTCACAAGCTTCATGCTAGGAGGGTGTTGCTGGCTAAATGTTCTCAGGTCTCATGCTGAGAAGAAGGACTGGCGCCTTAGATGGGAATGCAGATAGGC